TTGGTTTAATTGATGTACATTTTATCTTCTATTCAAATAAAATAGTGTTTTGGTTAGGTAGTTGTCTTGAAAATACAACATTAGGAATCCATTTTACCCTCAACCCATCCCATTTCTCTTATGATGAAAGAAAGGTTAAATTTTTGCTAAAGGCAGCTTACAAATGTATTGAATGTTGATATTTCAGAGCTTAGAGAGTGATAAAAAAAATTATCAACTGAATAGAGCTCCACCATGAGAAAACAATTGTAATTCTTACATTTAAACAAGAAAAATCCTATTTTGGGAAGAGGAAAGAAAGATAAATTCATGGGATTTAGAACCAACCAGCTGCTTGATATGCCCAAAATAGTTTTGTCTTTTGAAATAGCTTTTTAGGGGAATACTTTGGCTTCATACACGGGAAAAGATGGTTAGGTTAGGTCTTTCCTGTATCAAAAATAAACACATTTTCTCTTGGCCCTAACCCTCCCCATAGTTTTTATACTATCTTTTTCACAAGCAAATTTTTGTTTTAAGTCATGTATCCTTAAGGACTCTACCTCTTATTTTTCTCTCCAGTTACTACAATATTCTGACTTTTGCCTCTTACCTTTTCAGGGTTACCAGTAAGCTACTGATTTTTACAGACTCTTTTTAGCCCTTATCTTTATGCCTAAGAGCTTTACAAAGCATTTTTTAATGCTGACCATGCCCTTCCTCTTCTGTCTTCTTTTATACCATTCCCCCTGATGATTCTTACTTTCTCCATCTGCCCCTTAAAATGTCAGTGCGCCTAAGATTCTGTTCTTCACCTTTCTCTGCTCAGTTTATCTAGGTAATCATGTCTGCTGTCATAGCTTTTACTACAATGTCTCTCAAATCTTTATCTTCTTTTATTTCTCTTTTGAGTGCCAGGTTCATATGGCCAAGAGCTTGTTATTTTTCTCTACCAGGATGTTCTACAGATCACTCAAATGTAACACCTTCCCTTCCTGCCTTCAACAGATGATATGACATACCCCCAGCTGCTTGAGCCAAAAACTGGTTGTCATCCTCGCCCTTTCCGCACTCTTCTTTGTTGCAGTTAACTACCAAGTTCTATCAATTCTGACTTTTGAAAACCTGCCATTCGGGCAGATCACAAGGTCAGGAGACCAAGACTGTCCTGGCCGACATGGTAAAATCCTGTCTCTACTAAAATACAAAAAATTAGCTGGGCGTGGTGCCACGGGCCTGTAGTCCTAGGTACCCGGGAGACTGAGGCAGGGGAATCACTTGAACCGGGGAGGCGGAGGTTGCAGTGAGTCTAGATCGCGCCACTGCACTCCAGCCTGGCGGCAGTGCAAGACTCCATCTAAAAAATAAATAAATAAATAAATAAAAGCCTGCCATTTCTTGAGTGTCCATTGGTGGTAGACACATTACTAGGCACTTTTTACATATCATCTGTCTTGTAAATTCCTCTGAATCCACATTAATTCCTAATTTCTATTCCCACAGCCATTTTCATAATTATTCTTTTTTTTTTTTTTTTTGACAGACTCTCACTCTGTTGCCCAGGCTGGAGTGCAGTGATGACATCTCAGCTCACTGCAACCTCCACTTCCCAGGTTCGAGTAATTTTCCTGCCTCAGCCTCCTGAGTAGCTGAGATTACAGGAACCCACCACCACGCCCGGCTAATTTTTGTATTTTTAGTAGAGATGGGGGTTTCACCATGTTGCTCAGGCTGGTCTAAAACTCCTGACCTCAAATGATTCACCCACATCGGCCTCCCAAAGTGCTGGGATTTCAGGTGTGAGTCACTGCGCCGTCCTATTTTCATAATTATTCAATAAATGTTTGATAATGTATCACTTTCATGCTACAAGAGCCAGAAACCTGGGAATCATCTTTGCCTCTTTCCTCCCTTCCCTTCCTCAATCCTCATGATAGTCATTAAGTTCTATTACTTTACCTTCTTTGTCTTATTATCCATTCTGCTATCCCTGCCTTAGTTCCAGTCTTCACAAGTTCTTAGGCAGTCTATTAGTGTTTATCTTGTCTGCCTTTATTCTCATTGCACACCATCTATTTCGTCCTTTGTTACCGCTGCCCATAATCTTTTTCAAATATAAATTAAATTATGTCACAGTGCACCTTAATCAATTCTCCACCATCATCAAAATAAAGATCAAACTTCTCAAAACAGCACTCTAAGAATGTTGTAATTTGGTGCTTGTTCATAAAATTCATTTCTCTTTGCATACAACTTTCATTCTAGTTTACCAAATTATTTGTAATTTTGGAAAATACCAAGCATTCTTAATACCTCAGTGCCCTTTGATCTATCTGGAATCATCTCCCTCTCCCTAATCCCAACTTTTTAATTAATTAATTTATTTTTTTGGCTCATTCTATCACCAGGCTGGAGTGCAGTGGCACGATCTTGGCTCACTGCAACCTCCGCCTCCTGGGTTCAAGTGATTCTCCGGCCTCAGCCTCCCGAGTAGCTGGGACTACAGGTGTGTACCACCACACCCAGCTAATTTTTGTATTTTTAGTAGAGATGGGGTTTCACCATGTTGGCCTGGATGGTCTTGATCTCTTGACCTCGTGATCCACCTGCCTCAGCTTCCCAAAGTGCTGGGATTACAGGTGTGAGCCAACTTATGTTTAAAGACTGCTTAAACGTCACCTTTTAGAAGGCTTTCCTGATAGCAATCTTACCAGGCAATTGGTGTCATTCCTCTGTACTCCCCAAAAAAGATGATGTTTATCTTCATGTTATCATTTATCTCTTCTGTCTTCCTGTCTAGACTGTAAACTCCTTGAAGTCAAGAACTGGGTTATATTTATAATTTTTATTTCTGCATAAGGATGATGGGGAGAGAAGGATGAGAAGGGAGAAAGGAAAAAAGAAATAAAATGAATAAATGAATTGATCCACTAAATAGTGTATAAAATTGCTAGGTATTTTAGTCTTGATTTTTATTACCTTCGTTTTAAATGAGCAAATAATAACCACTTCTTTATCTGTATTAATTTTCCCTGCATGCCAAAAAAAAAAAAAAAAAAAAAAACAACTTGCTAATGGTGTCAGTGGTAAAGGTTTAAAATTAATAAAATAACCCAGAAGATAAATGGCTGCATTTGTTTACCCTCCTAAAGAAAGGACTGTTAATCTTAGTTGCTAATTACCTTGAGTCTTAACTAAAATGCTAAATTAACTTTCAAGTTAACATTAAAATATATTTATGTTGATCTTTTATCCTTATTAACTATGAATACATCCCTTTTAGTGAATTTTTCAGGTATCAAATGGACTATTTCAGCTATTTCTATAGACCTTAATTTCTCCAAACTTCTCTAAAGACAAAACGTAGGTCTAATTGTGGTACATCTGTAGAATTAATTGTTACTCAGCTCTATTCAGTTCCCATGCTATTTCAAGAAAATTTCTTTTAAAGAAAAAAAAAATATTTTTCATGGAAGATCCATAACTGTTGTAGTGCAGTTTTACAGATATATTCCAAAAAAAATACTCTTATCCATGAAACAGTTGTTTCACGATAAAATATTATATCTATTTGATAGATTTGCTTCATAACTGAGGAGGATTAAAGTGAGCTAAAGTACATCTCAGTTCTTTTTAATGTTTTGTTCTCTTCTCACATATTTCAACTATTTTAATATTTCATTTGTTCTCATCTTTCCCACCTCAGATATTTCAACCAGGTCCTTCAAAGGAAAAACACAAAAACTCATCAAACTTTGAAACCACCAATCAATATGTATGCAGAAAAGAATGGTGGAGAAATGGGGTAGGGGTAATTCAGAGGTTTTCACCAGGAGGCTAGTCATCTGTTCTTTTCTTATATTCTGAATGCAGAACAATAATTTTTCTTAGAGTAAAACAGTATAGCTTGTCAAGTTTATTATAATGGAATTTTTACTTACAAAGTTGGTATGTCATAACTGAGGCTAAATGTTATAAAACTAATAAGTCTTGTGATACTTTCTAAACCTGTTTGCTGTCCAGCGTACTTTTTGTGTGTGCGTCTTCCAGCATAGCAGAAGCACTCTTAAGAGAAATTGAAAATGAAAGCATGGGACATCATAGTGTACAATTGTGTACTTAAAAAAAATTCTTTTTTGCTCAACTGCTATATAAAATGAATAGGACTAGAACCACCTGCTAGGAACATTCCTCCCAACTTAATCCATGTTTTCCTAATAAGATGGTTCTTCAGAAACCTTAACTTTACAAGGAATGCAGACAAAGTGGGAGGGAAAAGATTCACATTCACATTGAAAAGCTCAGGTCAGTTCACGTTGAAAAGGCTAGAGATTTTTTTTAACTTCCAGAAATTCAGCTACCTTCAGTATTTCTGGTTATATTTTATTGCTCAATTACCGAGATTTAGTAATATATAAAAATGCTATGTAAGATGTTTGTTATTCACAAATACAGATTACACAAAGCACTGTGGTAGTTAGATTAGTGTTCCTTCAGATACTCAGATCCTGTTCACCAACAGAAAGCAGGTACTTTTGTAGGTTTTAAGCAAATCTAGATTGCTCACTTGAAATGGCAAAAGTCTGAGACTAGGGTTGCCTTTGAGGAGAAGTGGGTCCAAACGTAGCATCAAAAATGACTTTGTATAATAGTAAAAAACTGAACAGGCACCTGCTTCTTGTGTTGGACTACAGGGTACGTATGTCTCATGTCAGCATAATCAAGGTTTTTAAATGAAAGAAATATACAGTAATTTGTATTAGCATTTTTATGGCTTGTGGTTCATATAAACACCTTTTTGTTTAATGCCATCTTCTGTTCTGGGCTTCTAATGCTTGCTGAAATTCTCACTGGCTGGGGAAAAAGCCACTCAGACTTAAATTGTGTTTGTTCCTTGGAAGTGAGCCCTCAGCTTTCTGACTCCCAAATATTAGTATAATTAAATAATAAATTCACTCACTGGTGAATTATTTTCTGTCAATTTTGAATCTGGCATTTCACTCAATTTTCTTTATTTACAGAGCTTCCTTATGGCTGGGAGAAAATAGAGGACCCTCAGTATGGGACATACTATGTTGAGTAAGTTTGTTACCTCAGTTAATATTCTCCCAGATGTTTTCCTTTCAGCATATAGCTTTAGAGAATACTGGATACAGCACTTTATGCTTCTGTGATCCAGCTGTTGAGTTTTTCAACTAGGGGTATGAAAAGGTAGAGGCAGTGAGCATTTACTACATTGACCCTGGGCTTCCTGGAAGTTGGCTTTGAATTTCTAAATATAGAAAATAAGGGGGAAGTTGCCTAGAGGATTAATAGCTGGAGATACTGTTGTTACTAATACAGCCTCTAAAGAGAAAGTCAGTTGATAGAAAACTGAAATGAGGGCAACGGACTAGATTAATTATCAAGGTAATTTCCAACACTACCCCTGTATGCTTCTGAAAGCAGTGGAAGAACTTTAGGGCATTATAACATAATTACCTAAAGTTTTGAAGCATACACCTAAATGTGTACTCTCTTTTAAGGAGTTTTTCCAGGAAAACTTAGTATTCTTTTTAGGGGTGAAAGTTGCTTCTTAGGCAGGTGTTACAGTTAATTTTAAACATAAATATATATTGGAGAGGAGTGCCAGACCCCTGCCTATGTTAGCCAGAGAAATTAAGCTAATGTCAATGTCTAATTTTGCCTTCTCTTTTCTTTATCTAATTGCTACATTGTTATGACCATTGGGATTGCTTTCTTTCCAGATGCTAAACATTGAATTTGACCTCAAGCGTCTAGCAGCAGGCAAATAATTGTATCAGAAACATTACTATTTACCTGGAGACTAGGAGTTAAACCTGCCGCCTAGGTAGCAAAGACAAAATGTTATTATTACCTGAAAAAGTAACAAACACAAGCATCTTTAATTTTATGATTGTTGCTTAATGTTTCAACACTTACAGGTATAAACCAATGACATTTCCTGGTAATTATCCCTAAAGTAAGCATCTCTGACTCCTGTTGCAACTGTAGTCTTTATTCTGTTGTGCAGGTTGTTACTTAAGTCACTGTGGTTAGAGGGATTTTTGGAATGACTTCTTATAATTAAAGGTGTCTCCTAAGGAAATGACTCAATTAGCTTGACACTTAAGTATATAACTTCAGAATTTCAATATCTTGGTTCCTTTGAAAGCTATGCTAATTTTGTTTCCATTTCCATTGTGTTACTTAATATCTTACTGATACTGTGATATTAAAAGTATACAGCAGCTCTTTTATTATTTTTTTCCTAAGTCATATTTTGTTAAAGGAAGAAATGACCATTTTTCACATTAAAGGAATATTTGGGGGCCAACTGAAAAGGTTTTGCAGGATTCTTTTCTTCCCCTCAAAGTTTAGTCTCTTTAAATCTGGCTCTAATCAGCTATTATTTGCCATTGACACTGCTGAAGATTTCTGAGATAATGATTCTCATTCTCTTTATTACCCATTCCAAGTGAATTTGAATACATGGTCAAAAGGTGAAAGTCATTTGCCTGTTATAAAACCTTGAGCTGAATGATCTGGTGCCCATTATGCAAAGATATAATATTAAAGCAACTTTAGGGCAAATCCTGAAGCGACCTGCTCCTAGTTGTCAGGGAGGTACATGAAATAGCCTGAATTAGAAGCAACAGCAGCAGCGACATGATTTTGTATGATTGTTCCCAGAATGAGCTCATTTTACAGGAGGGTTTTGTATTAGATTAAGAAGGAGCAGACTGTACTCAAGATGCACATTAGTATGGAGTCAGCTGAGCTGTGGAGTGTGGCTTGATTCCCAGATTAGTTAGGTTTTGAATCTCGACCATGGTAATCTGCAGTGAGTTTACTGATGGAGATAAAAAGCTGTTACTTGAATGGCTACTCTTTGGCTCTCTTAGTTTGTCAAACCAGATGGCACGATGATTGCTCTTGGCAGGAGCCTTATAGTAGTAACACCAACTGCAATGGTAGTTTTTCTTTGTATTTATTTTAGAGGATGGGATTCTGAAATGGATGAATTTATTTTTTAAAATAAAATTGTTCCAAAAATATAATATGCTTGTAATATGCATAAATATAAATATGCTTATATATTTAGAAATGTGGTCTTGATTGTATTGCATTACATGTCTTTTTTAAATTAACATATAATAATTATACACATTTTGGGGGTGCATAGTGATGTTTCAGTACACATAATATATAGTGATTAGATCAGGGTAATGAGCATTAAATGTCTTGATGCATCTAGGTGACAAAGTCAAAATATATACTTGCTTTCACAACTAAAACTTTTTTTTTTTTTTTGAGACAGAGCCTTATGCTTGTTGCCCAGGCTAGAGCGCAGCAGCACGATCTTGGCTCACTGCAACCTCCACCTCCCAGGTTGAAGTGATTCTCGTACCTCAGCCCCTGAGTAGCTGAGATTATAGGCATGTGCCACCACACCCAGCTAATTTTGTATTTTTAGTAGAGATGGGTTTTCCCCATGTTGGCCAGGCTGGTCTTAAGCTCCTGACCTCAAGTGATCCATCCGCATCGGCCTCCCAAAGTGCTGGCCTTGGCCTCCCAAAGTGCTGGGATCACAGGTGTGAGTCGCCATGCCCAGCCATCTAAAATTCTTTATGAAAGAATATTTCGTTGAGATAAATTTTTAAATCCAGATATTAGACATAAAATTTTAATACAGATAATGTGCCACATTATGTACTAATATTTAATCATTCTTGTTTGCTATCTTTTTTTCTTTCTGATAATCTATAATATTTTCCTCTCTTATTTCCCATAGCTGGTTATATGGAAAACAAAATTTGTTGTATCTTAATAATATTGTAGGTATAAGTAACTAAATGAAAAGGACAGTATTCTCACTTCTTTATTTTTTGATTTTTTTTTTTTTGAGTGGCATTTTAGTCTAGATAGTCTAAGATAATGAAGATAATAACTTCCTTCAGTAAATCTTATATTCTGTTGTCAAATTTTTAGGAAAAGGATTACTCATTTGCATACTTCTACTCTCCTCTCCCACACATTACAAAGGGTATAAATACAAATTACTACTTTTTATGTTCTAATGCCTGGGTGGCAAAGTGAGTCATTCTAGCCAATGATATTAAAGTGAAAGTGAGCCAAGCTTCTTTCTGAACAGGTTTATTCTTTTCTGAGTGTCAATTTTTAGTTGTTTTTCAAAAGAATATGTAAAATATCAGTTCTTAAATAAATTTTTTAAAGTAGTTCCTAAGATTTTTATTTTAACAGAGTTAAACAGTTAACTCAATGGACAGGGTGTCCCCCTCATATTATGAAGCAAAAGCATACTTGAGTGTTAGTGAAATCAGAACCTGAAGAATGTCCAGTGGCACTTACCATATTTAGATCTCTTAAACTATTTAATAAGTAACCACATCTGTTGTGGAACTAATATGCACTAGTAGCCTAAGTGACATGGAGAAAGCTAACTTTCCTTTTTTTGAAGGTGGTTTTTAAAATTTTAATTTTAGTCCCTGCTGCCCATTTCTCTACCACCACTCTTAATGTTTGGAAATGGCAAAGCTCCAGTGTGGACAACATAGTGAGACCCCATCTCTACAAAAAAAAATTTATTTTTTAAATTTACTGGGTCTTGTGGCACACACCTGTGGTCACAGCTACTCAGGAGACTGAGGTGGGAATATCGCTTGAGCCTAAGAGGTTGAGGCTGCAGTGAGCTGTGATCAGACCACTGCATTCCAGCCTGGGTGACAGAATGAGAGCCAGTCTCGAAAAAAAGTAAAATAAATAAATAAAAAGGCAAAATAAATGTTCAACTTGTGTGACTATTTATATGTACATTTTGTAATATTCAGCCTACCTAAAGACAATTATGTTCTGAAATTCTCATGATTTGGTATTTAATTGTTGGTGTTCACTCGTGTTACCACTTTTTATTTATTTATTTATTTATTTATTTATTTGTGACGGAGTTTCACTCTTGTCGCCTGAGCTAGAGTGCAATGGCACGATCTCGGCTCACTGCAACCTCTGCCTCTCGGGTTCAAGTGAGCCTCCTACCTCAGCCTCCCAAGTAGCTGGGATTACAGTCATGCGCTACCACATGCTTATTTTTGTATTTTAGTAGAGGCGGGGTTTCACCGTGTTGGTCAGGATGGTCTCTATCTCTTGACCTGGTGATCTGCCTGCCTTGGCCTCCTAAAGTGCTGAGATTATAGGCGTGAGCCACTGCAACCGACCTCACTTCTTATTGAAGTGGAAAACTGTAGCATATGCTGAAATATATTTGTACTATGTAAGTGTTAGAATATGATTTCCATTGCTTCTGAATTAGACCTATTCGAGGTCCTTAACATCTTTTTTACAGCAGTTGCTTTCTTAACCAACTTCCACTTACCTGGCTTGCCAGAAGAACAGTGATCTTTTTCTTCTGTAAAACATACTATTGCCCATAGCGTGTTGAATAGTTTTGGCTAATCTCCTAGCGGCTAGTCTCCTCAGGTTTCCTGCTTTCTCTCACAGAGTTGTATGCATTCCAAGAGTCAGTAGTGAATGTTCCCAAATCATAAATGTCAGTTGAACCTATGTTATAATTATTCATTTAATTATGATATAATTATGAAGAAATTTAAGTGTGAAAGAGTTACTCTGTACTATAATTGATAAAAGCAAGTCATTTTCTTAGTTACTACTGAACAGATATAGGTGAGTCAGTGGAAAAGTAATAGTAATATAATTTAAAAAGGATTCTGTACACAGATTTCTCTGAAAGCGTCTTTACAGCTTGCTTTATTTTGGAGAAACTTAAATTAAAACCCTTCTATCATTAACTGCCTTTTAAAAAAAAATTAAATTACCAAGAACAAGTACTTCTGATTGCATCAGATAAGAAGGCCATGGTTTTGAAAACCGTTATTGGCTATATTGGGTAGGTTTATGAAGAAGCTATAGTAAATATAATATCAAAAACTTCACAGCTTGGCATCTTCTACAGGACTTTATTTAGCTGACAGAAAGCCCCACTGCTATCATCTGTCAGTCTCTCTATGTTCCATAGCCTAAAGATACATATTTGTGCCCTAATCTATGAGGATGGAATGGTATGATAGACTATTTAAGAATATGTTACTGTTTTATTTTAAACTGAAATGTATATTTTTCTGCATTCTTTAGTCACCTTAACCAGAAAACCCAGTTTGAAAATCCAGTGGAGGAAGCGAAAAGGAAAAAGCAGTTAGGACAGGCTGAAATTGGGTCTTCAAAACCAGGTAGGCATTCTTCTCAATCTTTTCTTGAAAGAATAATTTGTGAAATTTGTATGCTGAGTTAATAAAAGTGAGTTTGAACTTTTTATTTCTATGGCTTTGACACTAGACAAGAATGTCTAATATTTGTTATTGTAAAGATATGAATAATCTTAATAAAACATCTGAACATTATGAGAATAGTGAGATTTTTCTCAGGAGTATATAAAAAGCATGAAGTTGGTGGGAGAAGGGATTTGGGTAGCTTTTTTGTGAATTTGAGATTTTGTTTTGAAGATTGGAATGTTTCCTTATATGTTTAAGGTGAGACCAATATTAGGTCTCTAGTTCATCATTAGCTTTTCCCAAGTTAATTGCTTAAGTATGGTATCTGTAACCATTGAGGATTCTTCATTAACCAATATTAATAAATAATAAATATATCAAATGATTTACCTACATCATCGAGTCTCAAGTGGGATGGTAGGTATTAGTAACATCAGACTCACTTAGGGAGCATTTTTAAAAAATACAGATCCGGAAATTTCAATGAGCCTAGTCATGTGTATTTTGAAAACACTGCTCAGGAAGTTCTTACATTCTACTTATCCCTCCCCATCCCTTTTCCAGTCCTCATTTGTCATTAATAACCAGGGGTATATATGGTCATATTGTAGTAATCCACTAGATTCTCCACTTCAGTTGCCCATGAGAGAAATAGTTCTTTCTTATAGTTACTCTTCAAAAATATCATCCTTCTCCTAAAGTTTTGCATTTCGTTTAGCAAACATTTTGAGTTTAACAAATACTTTTGAGCACTGACTGTATCCCCAGTGCTTTGCTAGGCACTAGGTATTCAAAAATGACTAAGAGTAAGACAGGGCTTGCCCTCAAGAGTTCACAGTCTAATATAGGAAACTGATGGTTATAATATATGGAGATAGGTGCCATCCTAGAATAGTAATTATAAGGGTAAGCTGAGGAGCAGGTTTGAATCCCAGCTGTGTAAACTTGGGTACATTTCCTAAATCTCTAAATGCCCCTATTTCCTCATATATAAAATAGGAATAATAATGGTACCCACCTCTTAAGGTGGTTATGAGTATGTAAAATAACAGATGTAAAGTGCCTGCAATGGTATTAAGTGTGCGTTGGCTAATAAATGATAATAGTTTCATTGTTATTAATAGAGATGTACAAGGTACAGTGGTGGCATAACGAAGGGAGTACCCAACTCTGCTTTGGTGGAGATTGTCAAGGGGGCAGGAGAAATTTCAAAGCAGAAGAGATATGAACTAGGTCTTAAAAAGTCAGGAAAAGTTAAAGCAGGCAGACAAAAATTTTAAAGGAGTAAGAAAGCATACCAAGTAGAAGGAACAGAATGTTTAAAATCATAGAAGCGTGAAATGGTGTGCTGAAAGGCCAGAAGGCAAGTAGGCGTGGTTACAGCATAGGGTATTTGTAGGGTAGTAACAAGCGATGAGTTTATAGGGATAGGCAGCCATGAGAAGAGGTTGAGTATGTCACATGTTGCTGGAATGTCAAGGAAGTTGAAGATTGAAAAATATATGTTGTATTTGACAGTAGGGAGGTCATTAGTCACTCTAGCAAGAGCAAGTAGAGAGTGAAATAAAATTGCAGTAGAATGAAGAAGGTATGGGAGGTGAAGATGTGGAGACAATGAGTATAACCAACTATTTTCATAGCTTTGACCATGAAAGATTATAGACAGAAGACATGAACTGAAGAGCAACTTGAATCCCTAATTTATACATAAGGAAATGGAGACTTTAATAAAGATTAAGCCTCTTGCTTAGAATAATAGTGAGTGTCAAGCCAGAATTTGAACTTAGTTTTACTGACTTTAAATTCAAAGTTCTTTGTATTATAATATATAGTCCGTGAATTCATGGCACATTTCAAGGGAGATCTTTCCTCCCTTTATAAACTCTAATTTCCCTGAAGTCAGGTACCAAATGTTTTATTGATTTAGATACCCAGGCTCTCTCCTATAAGGTAGGGATTAAAAGAAGAGTAAACACTCAACACCTGGCCAGGTATAGTATTTCACACCTGTAATCCCAGCACTTTGGGAAGCCAAGGCAAATGGATTGCTTGAGCCCAAGAGTTTGAGACCAGCCTGGGCAACATGGCAAAACTCCATCTCTACAAAAAAATACAAAAATCTGGCCTGGTGTGGTGGCACACACCTGTAGTACCAGCTACTCAGGAGGCTAAGGTGGGAGGATCACCTTAGCCCAGGAGGTCAAGTCTGCAGTGAGCAGTGATCACACCACTACACTCCAGCCTGGGTGACAGAATGAGACCCTGTCTCAAAAAAAAAAAAGAAAAGGAAAACAAACAAACAGAAATATTCAACACCTGTCTTTCAGGAGCTCCCAACTTAGCCAGGGAAATACACATATAATTTTAGTATAGTATGATAAGGAAGATATAAACAATAGTGGTAGGCAAAAGGGAGACATTAAATCTGAATGTAGAAGGGCAAGAAAGACTTCCTTGATGTTACTGAAGTTATGCTAGTCCTTAAGGAATAACGGCTGCCATTTGTTGAGATACTGAATCACATATAGATTTGGATACTTTGTATAATCATATCATTTAAGTCTCAAAATAGCTCTGCAAGTTATTGATATTATTATCCCCATTTAGAGGCTTTGATGGCATTAAGTTAAAATTGTCTGATTCATCTATCCCAAGGTTATCCTTTCCACAGAGTCAGAAGCACTCAAGTTTGTGAGCCATGGAACCTCCTTCCTTGGACAGTATATAAGAGTTTGTGCTCATCTACATTGATTGTGCAGTTACCATTTGTCAAGCACCGCTTCCTCTGCTTTCTGTGTGTCACATAGTTTAATCTCTGTGACAATCTCATGAATTTTAGGTATGACTAGCCCCATTTTAGAGACAAGACAGCTGAGGATTACAAGTTTTAAACAACATACCCAGGATCACTCAACTAAATTACAAATCTTGGATTTAAAGTTGAGACTGTTGATCTCAAAGACAGTTTCTTTGTGCCTTTATGATTTTCACTTTTCTAAGCTTAATTTTGATAAGACTTACTTCTGACCAACTTTCAGTTGGCTTTGGCTGTTTTATTAATACTTTCTAAAATTAGCTGTTATTTTTCCTTCCTCTTTATTGTTTGTACAACCTGGATGTCATTTATTGTATGCTAGTTTTCAAGTTTTGCCCTCAGAAGCCAATCTTATTCTAGTATTCCTGGGGATTAGGGCATGGGATAGCTAACCAGAAACATCTCAGTATTTGACATAAAAATGAAAACGGTACATTTCATATTATCATCAAGTACCTGTCCAAGTACTCAGTCATTAGAAAAATATTCTTATCTACAGTCTGGTAGGCAACACTAGTGGACGGTGTTAGTCAACTTCTGTAATTGAATGGGTATTGCATATGTCAATTAAATAATTTTTAAAAGTAATATTTTGTTCAGAGACTGAACAAAATTCAAAGTTGCTACTTTGAATGTGAGAAGCTCAATAATACAGAGGTGTCACCATAAGTAGGCTGACTGGCCATCCTCTGAGAGGCCTCACAAAATGGCATTTACTATGATCAATGCACTGCTGTCTGGAGTCTACTTCTCTACTTTGAGAAGCCCAAAAGAGCTGGATTTTTCGTTCGTTTGTATCATGTGCTTTTTGCAAATAAAAGCAAATCTGGGAATAACCTATCAAATAAGGTAGCTCCTACTTTCCACCCCAAACCTGCCACTGTCACTATTGCCAGGGCAGGCCTACCTCTTGAGAAAGCTGTTTACATACTGCATAATCTGCAAACCATACAGAACAGCACCAAGAATCGCTGTTTTTTCTGATAAGTTTTAATATATCAGAACACTCTGCTAAGAGAGGCAGCAGCAAATACACATAAGTAACTCTGGGCGTGATACTAGTGCTAAGTGTGAAACAAGCTACCATTATTAATTCAAGTTAACAGGGAAATGCACAACAAAACCACAGTGAGAAACCACTCCATGTCCGCTAGAATGGGTACAACCAAAAGGACAGACAGGACAACTGTTGGCAAGTATGTGGAGAAATTGAGGCCCTCCTATGTTGCTTGTGGAAATGTAAAATGGCAAGGCTGCTTTGGAAAAGTTTGGAAGTTTATCAAAATGATAAACATAATTACGATATATTCATAGTAACTGCTGGAATTCCACTCACAGTATATACCCAAGATGAATGAAAATATGTCCACACAAAAACTTGTGAGTATTCATATCAACATTATTCATAATAGCCAAAAAGTGGAAATAACCCGATGTCCATCAACTAATGAATGGATAAACAAAATGTGATATTTATCCATACAGTGGTATATTATTTGGCAATAATATAATAAATTTATCTTTAGTAAATACATATTTAATTTAATATTTATTATATATTAATAATAAAGAGCAATAAAGTACTGACATATGCTACAATACAGATGAACCTCAAAAACACTGTCAATTGAAAGAAACTATTCAAAACACCACATATCATCTGATTCTGTTTATATGAAATGCCTGTATTGGGCACGTCTATACATGGATAATAGATTCGTGGCTTCCAAAGGCTGGAATATGGACGTGGGTTGGGGAGAAATTGGATAATGACTGCTAATGGGCATGGGGATTTCCTTTGAGGAGGGAAGAAAATGTTCTACAATTAGATTATGCTGATAGTTGGATGACACTGAATTGTATACTTGAAAGAGCTGAATTCTATGGTATGTGAATGATATCTTAATAAATTTGTTAAAAAATAGATAATGGCAGAACATTTAAAATCTTTTTTTTTTTTACAGTTAATTTAATACTTAGTAAATTATAAACCTGTACAGTTTGATTCTCTCAGTTTTTGTCACTTCCTTAATGGCATGCATGGTTGAGGAGAAGAGAAGAGGTTCTGGAAGGAGGTTGTTATTTGCAGATGTGAATCACTAGGGTCATCTAACCCCTAAAAATGGGCATTTCAAAAGAAGTATGTGTTTTTCTTCCTAAATTATCTACTAAACACGAGTGAAAGGGATAGAAATATGAAGCTATTTACTGGTAGTAAAAAGATTCACTCCTTCCATCAGTTATAAATTAAAGACTGCAGAAAGCCTGAACTGTGAATTATAAAAATTCTCAATATACTCCCTTTCATAAGTTTGTGACACTTGGCCTCATCCTCCTGGTATCGTACTTTGCACATAAAACTCAGTAGATGCTGAGTTTTATAGTACAGTTGAATATCCAAACTTTCAGCAATTGAGTACTAAAGGTTGTGTCATTTTAACTTCATATAATGGACTCTGGGTTGAAAGTAAGTGCAGACAAGGCAAGGAGAAAGAGATAAAGTTGAGAATAACATTAAGTTATATAAAAAAAGATTGACTGAGTGCTATATTCATTGTAATTATTTTTGTTCTCAAACCCACTTCTCATTTTGGCACAGATATGGAAAAATCACATTTCACAAGAGATCCATCCCAACTTAAAGGTGTCCTTGTTCGAGCATCACTGAAAAAAAGCACAATGGGATTTGGTTTTACCATTATTGGCGGAGATAGACCTGATGAGTTCCTACAAGTGAAAAATGTGCTGAAAGATGGTCCCGCAGCTCAGGATGGGAAAATTGCACCAGGTAACAAATTTTTCATAATTGTTTGAAGAGTAGTGATGCTATAACAAAAATTATAGTGAAGAGATTTTATATACATAGAGAGAAAGAATTAAATTATATAACTAAAGAGAGAGATTCCAGTATTAAAATAGCTTATCCTCTAATTAAAAAAAAAAAAGTTGTATGGGTACACAATAGGTATATGTATTTATGGGATACATGAGATATTATACTTTGATACAGGCATGCAATAAGTAATAACCACATCGTAGAAAATGGGGTATACATCTCCTCAAGCATTTATCTTTTGTGTTAAAAACAACCCATTTATACTCTTTTAGTTATAAAATGTACAATTAAGTTATTGCTGACTGTAGTCACCCTATTGTGTTATCAAAAACTAGGTCTTACTCATTCTTTCTAACTATATATTTTTTATACTCCTTAACCATCTCCACTTCCCTCTCACCCCCCACCAACCCCAACTACCCTTCCCAGCCTCTGGTAATCATCCTTCTACTCTCTATCTCCATTAGTTCAGTTGTTTTAATTTTAGTATCTACAAAGAAATGGGAGCATGCAAAGTTTGTGTTTCTTTGCCTGACTTATTTCACTTAACATAATGATCTTCATTTCCATTTGTGTCATTGCAAATGACAAGATCTCATTCTTTTTATGGCTGAGTAGTACTCCATTGTGTATATGTACCATATTTTCTTTATCTAATTATCTATTGATGGACATTTAGGTGGCTTCTAAATCTTCGCTATTGTGAAAAGTGCTGTAACAATCATGGGAGTGCAGATATCTCTTCAATATACTGATTTCCTTTCTTGTGGATATATACTAAGCAGTGGGATTGCTAGATTGTATGGTATCTCTATTTTTAGTGTTTTGAGAATCCTCCAAATTGTTTTCCATAGTGGTTGTACAAATTTACATTCCCAACAACAGTGTATGAAGGTTCCCTTTTCACCACACCCTCTCCAGCATTTGTTATTGCCTGTCTTTTTGGATAAAAGTCATTTTTAACTAGGGCAAGATGATATCTCATTGTACTTTTGATTTGTATTTCTCTGATGATCAATGACCTGAGCACCTATTCATATACCTGTTTCTTTGTCTTCTATGTCTTCTTCCTGAGAAATGTCTGTTCCAATGTTTTGCCCATTTTTTATCAGATTAGATTTTTCCTATAGAGTTGTTTGAGCTCCTTTTATATTCTAGTTATTAATCTCTTGTGAGATGGATAGTTTGCAAAGATTTTCTCCCATTCTGTGGGTTGTCTCTTCACTTGACTGACTGTTTCCTTTGCTATGCCAAAGCTTTTTAACTTGATGTGATCCCGTTTGTCCATTTTTGCTTTAGTTGCCTGGGCTTGTGGAGTATCACTGAAGAAATTTTTGCCCAGACCAATGTCCTGGAGAGTTTCCCCCGTGTTTTCTTTTTTCTAGTTTTATAGTTTGAAGTCTTAGATTTAAGTCTTTAATTCACCTTGTTTTGATTTTTGTATATAGCAGAGATAGAAGTCAGCGAGAGATAGAAGTCAAGTTTCATTCTTCTATATGTGGATATCCAGTTTTCCTAGAACCATTGAAGAGACTGTGTTTTCTCCAATGTATGTTCTTGGCACCTTTCTTGAAAATGAGTTCATTGTAGGTGTATGGATTTCTCTATTCTGTTTCATTGGTCTATGTGTCTGTTTTTATGCCAATACCATCTTCCTTTAGTTACTATAGCTCTGTAGTATAATTTAAAGTCAGGTAATGTGATTCCTCCAGTTGTGTGTACTTTTTCCTCAGGCTAGCTTTGGCTATTCTGGATCTTTTGTGATTCCATATAAATTTCAGGATTGTTTTTTCTATTTCTGTGAAGAATGTCATTGGTATTTTGATAGAGATTTGATAGAGATTGCATTGAATCTCTAGATTGCTTTGGGTAGTACTGAGAAGAATATTGATTCTTCCAACTGTGAACATGAAATATCTTTTCATTTTTTATGTCCTCTTCAGTTTCTTGCATCAGTATTTTATAATTTTCGATGTAGAGATCTTTTGCTTCTTTAGTTAATTCCTAGGTATTTAATCTTATTTGTGGCTGTTGTGAATAGGATTACTTTTTTTATTTCTTTTTCAGATTGTTCACTGGCATATAGAAATGCTACTGATTTTTGTATGTCGATTTTGTATCCTGCAACTTTACTGAATTCGTTTATCAGTTCTAATAGTTTTTTTTATGTGTGGAGTTGTTAAGTTTTTCCAACTATAAGATCCCATCATCTAAAAACAAGGATAATTTGACTTCTCCCTTTCCAATTTGTATGCCTGTTATTTCTTTCTCTTGCTGATTGCTTTAGCTAGAACTTCCAGTCTTGTGTTGAGTAACAGTGGTGAAAGTGGGCGTCTTCATTTTCCAGATCTCAGAGGAAGTGCTTTCAGTTTTTCCCCCATTCAGTATGATACTAGCTGTGGCTCTGTTGTATATATGGCTTTTATTATATTGAGGTATGTTTCTTATATACCCAGTTTTTTTAGTTTTATCATAAAGGGGTGTTGAATTTTATCAAATATTTTTCAGCATCAGTTGAAATGAATACAGTTTTTGTTGTTGTTTTTGTTTTGTTTTGTTTTTTAGACTGAGTCTCTGTCACCGAGGCTGTAGTGCAGTGGCGTGATCTCGGCTCACTGCAACCCCTACCTCCTGGGTTCAAGTGATTCTCCTGCCTCAGCCTCCTGAGTAGCTGGGATTACAGGCACTCACCAGCATGCCCGCTAATTTTGTATTTTTAGTAGAGATAGGGTTTCACCATGTTAGCCAGGCTGGTCTCGAACTCTTGACCTCAGGTGATCAACCCGCCTCAAATGATTATAGTTTTTATTCTTCATTCTGTTGATACCATGTATCACACTAATTATTTGCATATGTTGTACCATCCTTGCATTCATGGGATAAATCCCACTTGGTCATGATGAATGATCTTTTTAATGTATTGTCAAATTTGATTGCTAATATTTTGTTGAGGAGTTTTACATCAGTGTTTATCAGAAATACTGGCCTGTAGTTTTGTTTTTTTTGATATGTCTTTGGTTTGGATATCAGGGTAATACTGGCATCATAGAATGAGTTTGGAAATATTCTTCCCTTTGTTTTTCAGAGTAGTTTGAGTAGGAATTGTATTACTCCTTCTTTAAATGCTTGGTAGAATTCAGCAGTAAAGCCTTCAGATCCTGGGCTTTTCTTTACTGGGAGACTTTTTATTATGGCTTCAATCTTGTCACTTGTCATTGGTCTGTTCAGGTTTTAGATTTCTTTGTGGTTTGATCTGGGTAAGTTGTGTGTGTCTAGGATTTTATCCATTTCTTCTAGGTTTTCCAACTTGTTGGCATATCGTTGCTCATAATAGTCTCTAACAATCCTTTGAATTTCTGCAGTATCAGTTGTAATGTCTGCTGTTTCATCTCTGATTTTATTTATTTGGATCTTCTCTCTTTTTTTCTGTTAGTCTAAGGTTTGTTAATTGTATCTTTTCAGAAAACCAACTTTTTGTTTCATTGATCTTTTGTGTTGTTTTCTTCATTTCAAATTCATTTATTTCTACTCTTTCTGCTTTTCTTCTATTAATCTAGAGTTTCATTTGCTCTTTCCTAGTTCTTTAAGATGCATCATTAGGTTATTTATTTGAAGTTTTTCTTTTTTTATATCTATAGGCACTTATAGCTATAAATTTCCATCTTAGTACTGCTTTTGCTATATCCCATAGGTTTTGGTGTGTTTTGTTTCCATTATTATTTGTTTCAAGAAATTTTTCCAATTTCCTTCTTAATTCCTTTATTGACTCACTGGTCATTCAGGAACCTGTTGTTTAATTTCCATGTGTTTGTATAGTTTCCAAAATCCCCCTTGTTATTAATTTCTGATTTTATTCCATAGCGGTCAGAGAAGATACTTGATATAATTTTAATTTTTTGGAATGTTTTAAGACTTCTTCTGTAACCTAACATATGGTCTATCCTTGAGAATGATGCTGTGCTGAGGAGAATATATATTCTGCAGCCATTGGATGAAATAGTCTATAAATATCTATTAGGTCCATTTGGTCTATAGTGCAGATTAGGTCTGATGTTTCCTTGTTGATTTTTCTGTCTGGAAGACCTAATGCTGAAAGTGGAATGTTGAAGTCTCCTGCTATTATTGTGTTGAGGTATATTTCTCTCTCTTTAGCTCTAATAATATATATCATATATTATGTAATAAATATATATAATATATAATTGTAATATATAATAAAATACCTCTCTCTTTAGCTCTAGTAAAGCAAATAACACTTGCTTTTATGTATCTGGGTACTCCAGTGTTGGATGCATATATATTTACAATTGTTATATCTCTTGCTGAATTTACCCCTTTATTATTATATAATGACCTTTTTGTCTCTTCTTGCAGTTTTTGTCTTGTAATCTATTTTGTCTGATATAAATGTAGCTACTCCTACTGTTTTTGGTTTTCACTGGCATGGAATGTCTTTTTCTAGTCCTTTATTTGGAGTCTATGTGTACCTTTACAGGTGCCGTGTTTCTTCTAGGCAATAGATCATCAGGTCTTGCATTTTTTATTCCCTCATCCTCTCTGTGTCTTTTGATTGGAGAGTTTAGTCCATATGGATTCAATGTTATTAATAATGATCAATAAGGACTTATTCCTGCTATTTTGTTATTTGTTTTCTGATTGTTTTGTGATCTTCTCTTCCTTCTTTCCTTCCTTCGTGTCTCCCTTTTAGTGAAGGTGATTTTATCTGTGGTATGATTTAATTTCTTGCTTTTTATTTTTGGTGTATCCATTGTGTGTTTTTTTTATTTGAGGTTACCAGGAGGATTGAAAATACTATATTATAACTCATAATTACAAACTGATGACAAATTAACACTGATTGTATAAACAAAGAAGCAAACAAGCAAAAAGAAAATTAATAAAAACTCTACAATTTAACTTCATCCCTTCCTTTTTAATTTTTTGTTGTTTCT